ACCTTAGAATTTTTCCCCACCGAACCCAAACCCTGCACTTACACTATGCGCGCTGTGGCTGTTGGATTCGTCACGGAAATCAGATTTGTTCGGAAGTGTAAATAAACATGCACTTTAGCGGAGGTTTATATCCTCTTGCTCTCTGTTCCTCTTTGGGTGCGCTGAGGTCTCTTCCTGGTCATGTGATCCCCGCGGTCCAATTAGCTCTAGTCAGGGCTGGACTGGGACAAAAAAACGGCCCGGGCATTTTTTCCTTCTTACCGGCCCAGGCATGTTTTTGTCACGTTTTTTACAGTTTGTTTATACCAGGGATCGGCATCTCAAAAGGTTCAAAGAGCCATATTTGACAAAAAATACTAAAAACATCTGTCTGGAGCCGCAAAAAAATAACAGCCTTGTATAAAGCTTATATGAAGGTTACACAATGTAGCTACATTAGCTACATTAGCCTATTATCTAAATGACCAAGTAAAGGCTACAAATACATGATTAGCATTCATGATTGTCAAATGTGTGTTTTCACTGCAGCGTGTCCTGGAGAGAATGACGCACCACGTGATGACTCTGCTTTAACTTTGACTTCCATTTTTTTGCCTCCATGCAACTGTAGAAATACAGTAAATAAATCTGCTTTTTGGCTCAAAGGTCACACACCTGCACTGTCCACTCATATCGATTACGTCACAGGCTGAAGTTTGCTGGAGCTGAATGTCCTTAATGGCCTTTTCTTTCACAGTCTTTGCGGAGGTTTTTGAAGTCTGAAAAAGGTGCTCTGGATTTTGTATGGAAGAATCCTTCACGTAATCCCTGTGAACAGTATTTAGTGCTTCATTGTTCCTCGTGTTGCAACAAAACTTTCTATTACATCGCAAACATGAAGCAGTCCTTCCTCATTGACTGAAAGCAAATGTTCAGTCTTGTTCTTAGTCCAGTCTTATTATCGACTCGTTCTCTTTTTATCTTTGGGATCCGTGCGCACACGCCGGTTTGTTTACAGCAGCGGCCGTCTGCCGCGGGGCCGCGCCACAGGATATGACTCACTACGTTGACAGAAATGTTGAAATTGAATATTACTTATACACATTTTTACAGCATTGAAATACGTTAGGAATGTTTTTCCTCCTACAGAAACCACATTCAAACTAGGAATAAAATATAGCCCTCCCACTCCATTTTCAGACATTTTTGAAAAGGCTCCAGGAGCCACTGGAGGAGCACTAAAGGTTGCCGACCCCTGGTTTATACAGTATGTGGAAGCATACTGTAGAGGATCAGGATGTCTACAGTTTCAACAAAAAAATAAAGTGCAATAGTCTACATTACAAGAGAGTAATAAACATGTCTCAGAGTGAAGGAGGTGGACACAGACAATACTATTGTTTGTTACAGGGATGAGAATTGGTCAAAAAAGTCTGAAATGCATAATGTCAGCCATTGGCTGGCTCTAAATCTGTTTAATTTTTTCACAACATTTTACTTTTGGGCTCAAACATGAACTTTTAATGCAATGGGAAATTTAGGCACCCGAGCTTTAATTTAGTCGCACTTCGAGAGGAGAGGGAGACGCGGACTGTTTCCTGCAGCGGTGTATTTATTGGGTGCACAAATTACGCAAAGACACGCATGGTCCTGTGCATGTTTATGGTCTTGGGTACATGGTCACGTTGCGGCTACGCGCTCACCGTGTTGTGTTGTGAGCGGCTCCCGGTGAGCGGTTCCCGCGTCCAGCTCAGAGCCGCTGGATGCCGGAACACTGCGGCCGCTGAGGTGGTGGAATCCCGTTCGAGTACATACAGCAGGTGCCCCGCGGACACGCGCGCCCCCTCGAACAGTTCTCAACGGATTTACACTTTTCACAAACATCTTTTTTGTATGAGGCAAACAGACCGGCCCAAATATGGGCATCGGCCCTTCTGGCATTGCCCGGTACGCCCGATGGCCAGTCCAGCCCTGGCTCTAGTCATATGCCGGCGCAAGGGGATGTTATGCTTCTTGTTTTCACCTGTAATGCGGTTCTGATGGGATCATAAACTAACTTCCTATTCACCAACTTTATGGAGCCGATTACCAGTGCCAGGTACTTGTCATCTGAGCTGCGTATGACTGTAGAAGCAGAGTTGGTGAGTCCATGTTTAGGCAACTAGCCTCTTAGCATTAGCTTCTCTCCAACTTGTCTCTACGAGTTTGGCATATTTCTCAAATGTCCATATATATAATGTTTTGACCTGAACCAGTGGAGCTATTGCTTTAGCTCTTATTTTTACATGACATGCACAGTAATATATGAACTTTATCACTGAAGTTTTAAGGCGCGTTCAGACCAAAAGCTTCAAAAAGCTTTTGACGCGCTTCAACAGACGCCGGGATAGTTTTGTCATTTTGGTGCTTGAAGCTTTTGACGCGAGTGACGCGCCTGACGCCGGTGGGAGGAGCTTCTCTGTTGCCTGTAGTCAGGACAGCGGTGGATTTTTCAATAAGCAGCGAGCCTTTATTTGTTATATAAAGCAAAATAACGTTGTTGTAGGGCTTCAACAAAACATGTTCTGGGTTCACCACAGACTTGAGAGGCTGCAGTGTTTGCAGAGTTCCGTCATTTACTCCCGGAGCTGCGTACGGAGGAGTTTCGCTTTCAGCTGTACTTCCGCATGTCACTTGCCCAGTCTGAGTTCTCAAACCCCGGAGCTCGCCTCTCCCCGCCTCTCCCCGCCTCTCCCCGGCTCTCGCTCGCCTCTCCCCGGCTCTCGCCCGCCCGGAGCTGCCTTGCTCTGAGCCAGACTCATCGCCTGTTCTTATTTTAAATAAACTACGTTTACTACACAGCATGTGTACAATGATTTTTGTTACTCAGAACGTTACTACTCATACAAATAATATTACTAATAACGATAATGACAATAAAACAGCAGCAGCAGATACATGACTTCTCTTCATGACAGAGACAGACCCTCTGCTGCTGCTGCTCCTCGTCTCCTGATTGGTTGAAGCCCGCGTCAAAGCTTCAAAAGCTCAGCTTTGCTCAGCTTCGGCGTCAAAGGGATTGTTTTGATACGCGAGCGTTTCGCGCGTCAAAAGCTTCAACTGAGCGCGTATTACGCGCAACCTTTGAAGCTTTTGACGCGCGCCAAGTGACGCCGGGCCCCTTGGCTTCACCTGACGCGCTTCACCATTCACTTTCAATGCAAACCTGACGCTTTTGACGCCGAAGTTAAGGCTATATCCACACGAAGACAAAACGCTTATAATTTCAGAAACTTTTTCTGTAAACACGGAGTTAGCTCAGTAAATGTGTGCGTCCATATGAATGTAGTCAATACGCCTGAAAACGCTGTGAAACTATGCCAGACCTGTTGGTGGCGCTGTGACGCAATGACGGGATCAAGCCCAAACTTCCGTGGGCATGCGCGGAATTTTGTAAACAGACAACATGGCGAGTGGGCGAGCTGGTACTACATTAGTATGGACGGACGATGAGGTTGAACTGTTGCTTCGGGTCACACTGGATTACAAAACCAACAAGCTACATTGTTGTTGTCATTATTTTCTGAGTGCGGCGCATGCGTTCTTTGACAAGAGGCGGGGCGATGACGCAAGCGTCTCAGATACATTGCGGAGAGGCAGTAACCACGGAGCGGCATATACGGAGTTTTGAAATCTTTCCACTCTGGGACCTAGTTTCAAAAATGTTCGTTTACACCCCCCAAAAACGCCGGCCTCGTATGGACGATACACTGGATTGATAAAGTATTTTTGCGTTTAGGCCCGAGCTTGACTTCGTGTGGACAGGGCCTAAGTCCGGTGTGAACGCCCCTTTACACTGCTGTGAACTGAATGTATTTGTGTTTAATGATAAACGGGATTATTATAAATGTTATAATAATAGATTCTGGTCGAGCTACATGTCCAATTTGCAATGCCGATTTGTCTCGTGGTGGTAAGGACCCTAAACAGTACACAACACCGCCGCTGTTAAAACATTTGCGTATGAAACATCAATGGACTGAGGATGGAATAGGATTCGGTATTCGGGTTCGGATTCAGCAGAATCTTAACCAGTGGATTCGGTATTCGGCCAAACCCCAAAAACCTGGATTCGGTACATCCCTATAAAAAATACAGGGAAGCAGTGGGAAGTCTCATCTATTTAACTGTTTGTACTAGACCTGAATTAAGCTTTGTTGTAAGCAAACTGTCACAGTATTTTTCCAAACCTACTGAACAGCAATGGGGTACAGTAAAACATGTACCGAAGTTTCTAAAAGCCATATGTAACAAAAAGTTGTGTTACAGGAGATGTGATGGACAGTTGGGTCTCCAAGCATACAGTGATGCAGATTGGGCTGCTGATATCCATGACAGGCGGAGTGTCTCCGGTTATTGCTCCGGTTTAATAATATAAGCTTAACTGAGGAGGGCCCCCTAGTGTCATGGAGAGCTATAAAGCAGGCAACTGTAGCATTGTCCACTTGTGAGTCAGAATATATTGCACTTGCTGCCACTTTCCAAGAACAACTTTTGGAGAGCATGGATAACATTCAATATGCGTTGCCCAAGGTGTATGAGGACAACCAAGGGACTGTGGCCATAGCTAAGAATCCTGTCAGTAGGCAGAGGTGCAAACATGTGGACATAAAGTACCATTTCATACGCTCCTTACTGAACGAGGGGACAGTATCCCTAGAGTATTGTCCTACTGAGCAGATGGTCGCAGATTTGATGACCAAACCTGCAACAAAATTGTTGTTTGTTTAATGTAATGTAAGAGCAAGTGGGGGTATTGAGTTGGCGCTCTCATTATTATTCTCATTATTATTATCAGAATTATTATTATTATTATTATTATTATGAATGTATTTGTGTTGAGAAACTCAGTTTTTCTCTGTTTACCAATGGGCGAGGTGAATAAATTGTCCAGCGCCGCAGCTGAGCTGTGTTGCGCGTAATGGCATGAACGGAATGCAGTGTGTCCTGAGTTATCTTTCCTCCACATCTTTTGGTTATGTCTATATTTTATTTGGGTTTAAGACGCGGTACTGCTGCTGGATTACCTCTGCCAACAGAGACTCTCCTGAAACACAAACTATACCTGCATTATACAACACTATGAACGCCAAAGACAGAGAACCAATAAATAGTCATACAAGACGAGTCTATATCCTCCTAGCTAGATGCGCTGTGTTGTTGATTTTTGCTGGAAGTAAATGCTGTTCTACGTCATGGTGCTACGTCCCTTAGCGGACTTCGCTAGTGGGATGGACCCGATCGTCCATTACGCAACACATGAGTGGCCAAAGCCCCTAGCAGCCAAGAGGCCTGCTCTGGGGTACGGCATGTATTGCAGCGTGCAGGACTGGTCCTGGACCGACGGAGTCCCGGACATCGAGGATTCAGTCCGCATGGCCCTGCAGCCCTCCGCATCCGTGTGGCCCGGCACCAGACCTCTCCTTCCCTCCGAGCGGGACAGGATGTCGTTGGCTATGCTGGATAGATGTTACGCCAATGCGGCACAGGTCGTCGCATTGGCAAATAACATGGCATTCATCACTCGGACTCAGCCCGCCACATCAACCTTCTGGAGATGGAGGCAGTACACAGGGTACTGCTGCACTTTGCTCCTCAGCTGCAGGGGAGACACGTGATGGTTCGCTCAGACAACACCACAGTGGTCTCTTATCTGAACAGGCAGGGGGGCACCAGATCCCCCGCCCTCCATCGCATGGCGACGGTGACGCTGCTGTGGGCGGTGCTTCACCTTCTGTCTCTGAGGGCGTGCCACGTCCCGGGGGTCCGGAACGTGGGGGCTGACAGGATGTCCAGGGGGGGCCCACTCCAGGACGAGTGGGGCCTGGCCCCACGAGTAGCTGCGGAGGTCTGGCGGAGGTTCGGTCGTCCAGTGGTCGACCTTTTCGCCAGTGCAGAGAACGCACAGTGCCCGTCCTGGTTCGCCTTAAGGGTCGCGGACGAGCCGCCCTTAGGGCCTGCTGTATGCCTTCCCACCAGTGCGTCTCCTGCCGGTCCTGCTGCGGAGGATCGAACAGGAGAGGAGGTCGGTGATCCTGGTGGCTCCGGACAGTCCACATGCCCGGTGGTTTCCCTTCCTGAGGGGCATGGCGGTGATGGAGCCCTGGGCCCTCCCGGACGAGCTGGGGGCTCTAGTCCAGGGGGGGGGGGGCCTGTTTTCACGCCCGATGATCGGCTGCAGGCTCTGGGTTTGGAGGCTGAGAGGCGGAACCTCATAGACCTTGGTCTTCCCCCGGCGGTGGTGGAGACCATTCAGGGGGCGAGGGCGCCGTCCACTGTGAGGGCCTACGCCACGAGATGGAGGCTCTTCAGCGACTGGTGCGGTTCTCGCTCCTGGGATCCCAGGCGTTGCCCACTGGAGGGAGTTCTGGGATTCCTACAGGAGCTTTTTGACAAAGGGAGGGCTGTCTTACCTCGGGTCACGACGGATTCGGGGGGTTCACAGCCCGCTCTCATCCGTTGGTTAAACGTTTTCTGCGGGGGGCGCACAGGAGGAGGCCCCCGCTTCAGAGAACACCCCCGGTTTGGGACCTCAGGGTGGTCCTTAGGGGTCTGTCGGGCCCGCCTTTTGAACCGGCGGCGGAGGCGAGTCCCGAGTGTGTTGCTTTTAAGACGGCCCTCTTGCTGGCGTTGGCGTCTGCCAAGAGGGCGGGCGACTTGTGTGCGCTCTCCGTCCTTGCGTCTTGCCTGTCCTTTGGAGAGGGCGACGGCCTGGTGGAGTTGTGGCCCAATCCGGCTTTTCTCCCTAAGGTCATCACGTCGGCCTTCAGGTCGAGAGTGATCAGGATCAGGGCATTCCATCCGTGTGCCGTGTGGCTTCTTGGGCGTCGTCCTCCTCTTTCGTCCGGTCTTACCTTTTGGATGTGTCGGACCGGTCGGTGGCCCATTCCGTGCTGAGTGCAGCGGACTGAGTTGAAACCGTTAGGTTCCTCCTCTGAGGGGGCCTTCGGTTGATTTTCCGCCCTGGTTCAGGAGCTCTTGGGAGAGGCGTCCTGCAGGTGCGGTATATGTGTGCTTTTGGTCAGTCAGGTAGTCCAGGTCAGGAGCTCTTGGGAGAGGCGTCCTGGGACTACGGGTGACCTACGGTCTGTGTTACTTTGGGGTATCCTTGGGAGGAGTGGCCCTGTAACACGCAATTGCTTCTTCTGCCCTGAGTCCTCTCACTTTGCGAGGGTCTTGCTCGGGCTGAGCTCCAATCACTCTTCGCTGGCCTGCTGGGAGTACATGTTCCTACGGCCTCCGCGTTGTGTCCCACTAGCGAAGTCCGCTAAGGGACGTAGCACCATGACGTAGAATTAATAGTTACCTAATGTAACTTAAGTTCTACGAATAGGTGCGTAGTCCCTTAGCTACGAGCCCATCAGGCCAGCCCGGCTTGGCAGAGTTCAAGAGGGGGCGCGGCTATGGAGCAGGGGCCTTTATAGAGGAGGGTGGCTAGTGATTGGAGCATTTTTTGTTGATCTCTCTGGCGTCTGTGACCTGGGGGTCACGTGATATCCCACTAGCGAAGTCCGCTAAGGGACTACGCACCTATTCGTAGAACTTAAGCTACATTAGGTAACTATTAATTATGACGGATTGGAAGTAGCAGATAACAGAAAAGGAGGTTCTACTTACATAGAACCTCCTTTGAGTAACTTGGAATCTTCATGAAGGGTGATCTGTTACTTCCAATCCGTCATAACAGCATTTACTTCCAGCAAAAATCAACAACACAGCGCATCTAGCTAGGAGGATATAGACTCGTCTCTGATTGGCCGAGAGCGGACCAGGGCCCGCCTTCCCAGGGGTCAAGAACTGCATAGCATATTGAATTAAGTTGCACTCAAACCATGTGGCAATGCAATATGCAATATGCAATGCAATCCAGAGGGAGGTGCTGTTTCACAACACATTAAATGAAACTTAACATACTCAAATGTGGAATACAAGTCAAAATAGGATATAACATGCAATTTTGCCAAATACAACTCTAAACTAAATGCCATGTTAAGAATGAATAGAACAATGAATAAAGAGGCCAAATTTCCATGTCAATATGCTATTCATTTCAAAATCTTGTAATTTGCAATATATAAAGACATTGTATCGACACTTTACATATTGAATTGCCATTAGAACTTTTGGAATAGAACATTAAATGTCAAAATTGGATATAACATTACACTTTGATAAATACAAATACAAAATAAATACTAAAATAACAATGCATAGCCATTCGACAAATGAATAGACAATTGAATTAAGGTGCCGGTAGTCTTCCATAGTGATGAGAGCAGAACATGGCAACAGTGGAAACGCAGAATGCAATGTTTTACACTCACCAATCGCAAAAAGAGAAATGCCATTGTCAACAACTTTCTGGGCCGCCGATCCAATCTGGTCATCTGAACGCCCATTCGTGATCAACACAGTGATCTGGAAATACAAGGAATATTGAACATGGCAAGTTCGTCCAAACCCGCATGCTTTTAACGTTTGTGGATGTTGGTTATTTATTCTCTCTTTTTCTTTCACTTGGACAGGACTAACTGAGCTGGAAGATTTTACCTTAAGTTTGGTTTTGGAACATTTATTGTATTTAGTAATGCCATTTTTACAGCAACAATTTTTTATTGGTACAATTTAACACAAGCACAAAAGCGCAGCTGCTGTTCCTGTGAAAGATGCTACACCCGATTTATTTTCTAATGAGTTCATAAAAATGCTTATTACTACATATATACAAGTTGTATTATAATCCGTAATTTAATTGAAAACTTGAGCTCATTGATTCAGCTTGTGTATGAATTCAGGCCGTATAAAAGTGCTGAGAAGAGACTAAGCGTGACGCTCGGCTCCTCCACTCACAGAACGAGGAGCGGCGATGCTACGAGCAGGCTGCGTCCTCTAGCCTCTACAGTGCTGCTAAACACAGTAGCATGTTAGCAGAATTGGCTATAACTCCTCTTGCTGTAACTGCATACACAGCAAAACAGCCCAAACAACACAACAGTGAGGAAGAAAAGAGGGAACTAAAGCGAAAAAATTATCAAAGAAGAAATCAAGCCCGGGTGAACATAGCTAGCTTACATCGTATCCTCTGGAGCACAGGTGTCAAAGTCAAGGCCCGGGGGCCAGATCCGGCCCGCGAGACCATTTCCAGTGGCCCCTGAGATGATTTTAAATTATTATATTAAAAAGCAGCATTGATGGTATTAGGCGACAATGGCATGTTATCCATTACTAATTTTCTCAAGAATACCATAAAATGTAATTCCTTAAGAAATGTTAAGCCAACATGTAATTAGAAGTTAGTTGTTATGCTATGTTTTTACATTTCAAGGAGGATTTCCCAATTTGTTAGTAAAAAAACGCGCTCTCCACTTTTTGAACAAAACTCTCTGGTCTTATTTGACAAGCACGAATCACCAGAATAATTGATAGTTGGGAGGACCAATAGTCTGATGATCCACCCGGAAGTAGAAAATCTTCACATTAACATTCAATATTTGGTCCAGTTTTGGTCCAGTCCACAGGAACTGAACTAAATCTAATCAGAAAAGAATATCCAGTCTAACTAATGTGAAACAAGTCATTTATATACATACCTTCATATTATAAAAAGTATAAAAAATGAAACCCACTTCTTCTTTCGGCCCCTGAACGGCCCTTTAATTTTTTTTTTGGCCCTCAACCAAAATTAGTTTGACACCCCTGCTCTGGAGAGACCTGCGGGACTGCCTCGGACCATCTATGCTCGGACTACATTTGGACGCGAAACTAGCTGTAATCTTTCAGTTACATGATTTGTTTGCTGTGCATTGCTTTTGTACCATTTCATCAGTGATTGTTGTACAGCCTAAGTTGTGCTAATGCTAATGTTAGCATACAGTATGTATCAGATCGCAAATAAAACTAGATGGCTCCGTGGGATGAGAGCGTAGGGGAAATGAGAAGCCTGTGAGAGCGTTGGGGGTGGCGCTAAACATTCAAATCTTGCAGAAACGGGTTTAGCTCCTATAAGTCCATGTAAATCCAGTGGTCCACCACTCAACTCATTTGAACTGGACCACCAAGGAAAGAACAAATAATTTCCGTATCCATTATCCTAGTCTAAACAATCTTTCTCCTTACATCTTGGTCGCATGACACGATAGCACTGAAAGATAGAGAAATGTCCCTCCACACACGCATGTTCTGAAGATGCTGCACGCTGATGCAAACCAAGATGGCGGATATAAAGTCTGCGACCTGTTTAAAAGGTTTAAAAACTAACAATTTAAGACGTGAATGTCGCATTAAAAGTGGAGACATGTTGCCACTTTTAGACGAGATGTTGATGGTTCCATGTTATGATATGTAGGTTTTAAGAGTAAAGGTTTTGTGTAAAGTTTGGTTTAAGTAGTCAACTGCTCCTGTCAAACCACACTGCTGCTCCTATTGACGGCAGTTCAACTAGACAAGAAAGGGACTGCTATCATACAGTAGCATAGACATGAGCATTGTAAAAAGGACAAACGATTGTTTACTTAAACCTTTGAGCTACATACAGTACCTTGCAGTACAGATTTCCCAAGCTTTAAACATCTCAAGGAGCACTGTGCAAGCAATTATATTGAAATGGAAGGAGGATCAAACCACTGCAAATCTACCAAGACCCGGCCGTCCCTCCAAACTTTCATCTCAAACAAGGAGAAGACTGATCAGAGATGCAGACAAGAGGCCCATGATCACTCTGGATAAACTGCAGATAACTACAGCTGAGGTGGGAGAGTCTGTCCATAGGACAACAATCAGTCGTGCACTGCACAAATCTGGCCTTTATGGAAGAGTGGCAAGAAGAAAGCAATTTCTCAAAGATATCCATAACAAGTCTCGATTAAAGTTAGCCACAAGCCACCTGGGAGACACACCAAACATGTGGAAGAAGGTGCTCTGGTCAGATGAAACCAAAATCGAACTTTTTGGCCACAATGCAAAACGATATGTTTGGCGTAAAAGCAACACAGCTCATCACCCTGAACACACCATCCCCACTGTCAAACATGGTGGTGGCAGCATCATGCTTTGGGCCTGCTTTTCTTCAGCAGGGACAGGGAAGATGGCTAAAATTGATGGGAAGATGGATGGAGCCAAATACAGGACCATTCTGGAAGAAAACCTGTTGGAGTCTGCAAAAGACCTGAGACTGGGACGGAGATTTATCTTCCAACAGGACAATGATCCAAAACATAAAGCCAAATCTACAATGGAATGGTTCACAAATAGACGTATCCAGGTGTTAGAATGGCCAAGTCAAAGTCCAGACCTGAATCCAATCGAGAATCTGTGGAAAGAGCTGAAGACTGCTGTTCACAAACGCTCTCCATCCAACCTCACTGAGCTCGAGCTGTTTTGCAAGGAAGAATGGGCAAGAATTCCAGTCTCTCGATGTGCAAAACTGATAGAGACATACCCCAAGCGACTTGCAGCTGTAATTGCAGCAAAAGGTGGCGCTACAAAGTATTAGCGCAAAGGCGCCGAATAATATTGCACGCCCCACTTTATAGTTTTTTATTTGTTAAAAAAGTTTAAATTATCCAATAAATTTCGTTCCACTTCACGATTGTGTCCCACTTGTTGTTGATTCTTGACAAAACATTTTTTTTTTATATCTTTATGTTTGAAGCCTGAAATGTGGCAAAATGTTGAAAGGTTCAAGGGGGCCGAATACTTTCGCAAGGCACTGTATTTAACCTCTCTTTCCGTAAAGCTGTTTCTCCACAAAATATGAAGACAGCAAAGATAATAACTATTTTCAAAAACGGCGATTGGTAAAAATTTTACAATTACAGAACAAATTCATTACAGCCAGAGTTTTAAAAAATATTAGAAAAATTGTTTACTCACAAGCTAGATTTATTTTTGGAAAAAAAAAAGTACTCTTTGATTACCAGTACGGGTTCATTAGATGAATTTTTTTTTTTTTTTTTTTTTTTTTAAGTCAATGAATCCTTTTCACTCATTCACTTCAGAAGTAGAAGTCTATATTCTAATTTTGAACACATCAAGCATTATCTTCAGCAGTTCACACAACCATTCAGTGAAACATATGGATTAATCCAGAAAAAGGAAGTAACTTAAATTTGGAGGCCTATGAATTTATAAATGTAAACAGACAAAACCAAGGGGGAGGGGGTGTGGAATTATTTGTAAATAATTTGTTGAAGTTTAAACTCATTGACAATATGACAACAGTTATAGAGGTTATATTGGAATGTTAGTTTATCATGAACACAAACATATAATTATTAGCTGCAAATATCGGAAGCTGGGTTCAAAAGTAGAGACTGGGGTAAGCAAACATTTGCACAAATGAATCACAAATCTATGTTAATCTGTGTTCACAGTATTAAAGGGTTGCCACAATAAAACAAGAGCAGACACAAAGTCTGAGTATAGGAGAGTCAAATCAGCAGAATCATTCATTTCTTTCCAAAATGACCTGCTTTATCAAAATTGGGAAAATGTATGCAGTATTTTTGACACCAATATGGCCTATGATAAATTCTTAGAAATGTTTCTATTATAAGGAGAAGCAGATAAAATATAGAATTTATAAAAACAAACTGACCAGTATCATTTAAAAAATGCAGAAAAATATTATTATCGAGATTCACTTTTAAAGAATAAACAATATTCCAAGGGAAGCAAGCATAAAACAACTGATGACTACAGGGGTTGGAATATATAGGTTTTTATAGGTTGATATTTCCATCCATCCATTTTCTACCCTTTAATCCATTTCTGGGTCAGGGGGGTGGCAATCAGTCACCCAAGTGATGCCACCCAAGTCTCATAGCACCAGCCCCTCACTGACCCTCTGCAGGTGGTGAGTCCACAGGAGGACGGCTGCTCTCTGAGTGTGAGCATAGCCTTCATCTTTCAGTGGGGGCTTTGGGCAAAGTGGGGTTAAGTGTCTTGCCCAAGGACACAACGACAACAGTCATCAGTGGGAGTCGGTGGAGAAGGTGCAGAGGTGGGAATTGAACCCACGACCTTCAGGCCTGAAGGCCAATGCTCTACCAACTGAGCTACTGTCGGTTGATATTTAGTTATTTAAATTAAATGTATGTTTTAAATCTAAGTTATGTATTGAACTTGAAATACAATTTTCATTCATTTGCATTGTAAGTACAAGTCTCGACAGTATAATTCTCGACTTCAGCCAAAACCCCTTTCGGTCAGGCATTAGGTAGCACTAAAAATCTTAAAATACATTTTTTTATTTTTTATTATTGTAAAATAATGTACATAATGATTGAAGAAATAAACAACTAAAAACTACTATTATAATTATCAATATTATTAACGTAGCTTGCTTACAATGTTAAATACAATGTTAAATACATTTAATGTAAAAATACATTAAATCAGGCAGTTAAAAATAAATAGCGGTACTGTAAACCAAGCCCAGTTGTCCGGATGTCTAACGATCTGATAGTGTCTCTGAACTTCACCTTGGGGGCATGGTCTCGGACGATGGCCGCACTGAAAACGTTGTCCACCAGGTATTTCAGAGCCACAGCCATCTTCCTGGAGCCTCCCTCATATGTGAGCTCTTTGACGGCCTTAAGGACGTCCTCCCGCGAGCTGTAGTCTGTCAGCGCTATCTGCATCCTGCCACAAGAAAAGCACATTTCAACAAGAAGCTCTTCAAAAAGACTGAAAATGGCTTTATAATTAATTTAATTAATTAATTAATGTTGTTTTGGGAAAATTCTTGGCAAAGCAACACCTGCTTCATGTGCAGTATATAGTACGGCATATCACAAATTTGGAGGATTGAAATAATTATTTGTATTAATTGTTCATTTTAGAATAAAAGGTAACCTATAAGCCTACTTGGTCCTTGGAGTAATCAATATTTGTTAATGTCTTAAATGAGTGTCTGGGGTGGGAAGTTGCAAGTGTCTGCATCACCAAACCTGACATAAACCTAAATTTGCTGAGAAGAGTTTTTATGACTCTTCTCAGCATGATATTTTAATCAAACATCCTAATGTGTAACAAGTCATCTCTATGAAGATGTTCTCCAGGGGCATCATCTGAGCCTTGTCGATCAGAGCACCGGCCCCTCACTCATCCTCCTGCAGGTGGTGGGTCCACAAGAGGATGGGCTGCTCTTCTCTGAGCGGCCTTGATCTTTCAGCAGGGGTTTCAGGCAAAGTGGGGTTAAGTGACTTGCCCAGGAACACAACAACAGCAGGGTTAGGGTTTGAGTTAGGGAGTAGGTTCGTGGGGCAATGAACCCACAACTGTCAATGCAACACTAACTGAGCCATTGCCGCCCAACTAAACTTTGTTTTGGCCAAACTTTTCCATATTAACTGACTTTTTGAGGTATAAACAAGTAAGTGATTAACCCTTTCAGGCTCAATTTTTACATCTTCATTTCTTAATATCTTAAAAGTGATGAGAGATAAAGGCTTTATGCGAGTTTGAGAAATTATAAGTATTGCCCAAAGTTTATGTAGGAAATAAATGTACCCATATACTTTGCATATTATGACGTTATATGGTAGTGGCAATTGTGGATTTTGAACAGTGACGTGCGGTCAGATGAGGCAGGTGAGGCCCGACCTCAAGAAAAAATATTAAAATGGAAATAATGTCACTAAATGAGGCCAGCCTCAGAGTAGGGGGTGCATGTGAGCGCAGAATTTGGCTGCATTTGATTCCATCAGAAAACTCATGTCTTGTTCTTCATCTGCTAAGGTCAGCTACAGGTTTAGCTAGCATACATATAACACATTTTAATATGATTTAAAAGCCACTTAGGGTAATTTCATGCTTCCAATGATGATAGGAATGATAAGGAAGAGAGATGAAGGGTAAGAAAGTGACAGGGGGATGCACCCGAGATTAGGCTGCAGCGAAACATGTCAATTGCTTGCTTGCAATTGACGTCACGTCCGCCTCATTGCATATGCGTATCACGGACTGGTGGTCAGCCGAGCTAGTTGTTCACTAGAGCAGCGTGTCTGAATATACCTTTTGCATGTGTTGTTTTAAGTTTTCTAACCGATCGAATCGTGAAACCTTTAATGGATACTTTAGGATTCCTTGTGAAGAGATGAATAAAGAGCCTGGCACGAAGGACTTTACGAAAACACGCAGGAAAAGTGACTCGCTAACATTTCACTAGCAGACGCTTTTACCTCTAAGGATTATTTATTTACCCAGCCATGCAGTCACAATGCGCAGTTATTACATCCCCATCTTTATTTCATTCATTGTCAGGTATGAGTCTGCGTTTTAAAAAAACATTGTGAATGTTTGACCTGAAAAGAACACAGCCACAGACGCATTGTTTTGTTGAGAATGATAAGTTCATACCAATCCTTACTTACACGGCTCTGTACGATGCAGGATGTGTCCTTCAGGACCTTAACTCTGAGTTCTTAAACCCACAGACAAACGGAAAAGTTGCAACATCCGTGTTTATCCAAACCTTCATTTGTTTAGCAGTGCAAAAGCTTGATTGTAACACTAGCTGTGGATTAGAATCTAAAGTGAATAAAAAGACAGTCGGATCTAGTCTTTAATTCAGACCGAAGACATTTTTTATTGTCACACTTTTAAATGTGCTTTTTACATACTTTGTAAGAGCAAACAATTTGGACATGAAACATATTCCGCTATAGCCAAACAAATTGTGAATAAGCCACTCTATAGGTCGTGTTGATTTATACGATATACATGTACATCTGATTGGGGTGAAGTCAGTGCCACACCAATCACCAACCTCACTGCACGTCACTGATTTTGAAATATATATATACTGTGTATATTTTTTTTTTACTGACAGATACAAATAACTAGGACATGAAACACACAAACAGAACTCACACTGGCTCGAGGGTCAGGGAAATAGTAAAAGAGTGCAAATCATCGTGTGACAGGGAGTTTGAAAGAATTTTTACACCCTTCTTGACACAATCGGTTGTTTTAAACAGTACCCCATATTATCCACTTAAAGGAACTATACCCCATTTTCTAATGAGTTCATAAAGATACTTATTACTACATACAATTAGTATCAAAATCCGTAATTTAATTGAAAACTTGAGCTCATTGATTCAGCTCGTGTATGAATTCAGGCCGTAAAAAGTTCTGAGTAGAAACTAAGCGTGACGCTAGCTCTCCTCCTATCACTGAACGAGGGGCGGCGCTATAGTCACTGTCCGATTTACGAAATGTGCTAAAAATAGCTCCGATGACTGCGCATGCGCGCATGTTTCAGACAAACTCTGTCCGACTCTGTTGAATACTACCAGGACAAGTGCAAGAGGTGGGTTCGTGCTTGTGGTCAGCAGAATTTCTCTCATGAAAATGTTAAAAAGGACTCATATTTGTTCAAAACACTTAGTCTGTGAAGCTGGACCAACTGTGGAGCATCCAGATCTAGTCCTAGCTACGTTTAGCTGGGACTGGATCTGAACCGCTGTATCAGGTCCGTCTGAGCTCTTCTGAATGTAGTTAGCACAAACTTCCTCTTTATACCCTCTTCCCCCATCAATCCATATTAGTATTGTTTGTCCTAATCCAGAATATATACAATTCTCACACCTGAAGAAAGATGAGAGGGATTTTTTCAACTTTGTGACTTTCGGAAAATAAGTACACACGAAGCGCGTCGGGGTCCGCTTATTATACGGCTTTGTACCAACTGAACACACAAAATAAACTTCTGTCACTATTAATGCCGAAAGGTTTATTTAATGAGTGCAAAGAAAATAGTTCCCAAAGGTTTTCCCGTGGCAGGCGAGTAACAGTGAGGATCATTTAGTCGCATTAAAAAAGTATTTTTGTCATGAAAACCTTAACAGATAATTCTGAAAACCTCCGTGCACGTGTGTTACAAATGTATGTATAATGTTTTCTCCGATTAACATTTAAATGTGTTGATTGTCATTTGCGTTTACTGAGTGTGGCTAGCTCCGATAGTTTCTCCCTGCAGAGACAGTAGTGGTGTAGCCTGTTGTGACCCCATGGATCTATTATAATATCAGCTGACAGTAGCTAACTAGATGATCAAACTAATTACAAAGTGGATAGTGCAAACAAAAACAACTTGATAAATGGAAGTTAATCACAGCAAAATAAACAAAGAAGGCGCCAGCATTGAATTTAAATGACAAGATAATGTTAGCATAATTCTCACCATTACCTTTTTATCAATTAAAACTTTCTACCAGTTACAGACCACGACATTCAAGCCAACGTTTTACACTATGATCCCTGATGGTTTGATGGTGGAATTTTGCTCCTGGTACATCATTTTCGTCTAAAGTGGTATTTGATTCATTTTGGTAGTGTTGTGGGCGGGGGTTGACAGGCGGCGGGGGCGTGTCTCCGTGACGTCATTTAGATAGTTCTTGCTGTAACTGCATACACAGCAAAACAGCTCAATCGATGCAACAGTGAGGATGAGAATAGGGAACTAAAGCAAACATAATAAACATTGCATCCTCTGGACAGACCTGCAAGAACAGGACCACATTTGGACGCGAAACAATCAGTAATCTTTCAGTTAAATATTTTGTTAGCAGTACGTTTCTTTTGCTATGCTATGCGGTGCTAAACATTAAAACTAAAAAAAACCTTGCAGAAAAGGGTAAAGCTCCTATAAGTCAGCCGTGGTGCCTAGAGATCATTCATGCCTTTGTTTCCACGCGTCTTGATTACTGCAATTCATTGTTTACTTGTCTTAATAAGAGTGCTCTTAACAGAATTCAATTTGTGCAAAACTCCGCTGCCTTTTAACTGGAACCCCCCGGTGGTCTCACATCACCCCAGTCCTGTCCTCACTTCATTGGCTCCCAATTAAACTACGTATTGACTTCAAAATTTTAGTATTAACTTTCAGAGCCTTAAATGGTCAGGCTCCTTGTTACATCTCGGACCTCTTGACCCCATACTGTTCTGGCCGCACTCTTAGGTCCACAGGCCAGAATTTACTTGCGGTCCCAAAGACCCGCTATAAGACCCGGGGGGGCCGGTCCTTCCAGTCCGTTGCCCCCAGACTGTGGAACGCCCTGCCTCTGTCCCTCCGTGTGGTCAACTCTGCCTATGCTTTTAAAAAGGAACTAAAGACTCTTCTTTTTAGGACAGCTTTTGGTTGATTTCTTGTTTTAATTTAATTTTCTATTTTTATCTTATTTCTATTGTACATTTATATCTGCTTTTACCTTGTACAGCACTTTGTGATTTTTATCTGTGAAAGGTGCTCTATAAATAAATTTTACTTACTTACTTACTTACTTACTAGAGGGTTAATAAAATAAATAAAATAATCTAGCAACTCATCAATATAATTATTAATTACAGTTGTAATTAATAATCTCTGAGATAAAAGTAAAATATATACAATACATGTTAACAGTAGAAATAGTTTGCCTGGTCATTCCTCCTCATCTGTAATACAGTATTGTGCCACCAGAGTGTGTACAAGTACCACAGACAGGTGAAAATTAATCTTGAATTATCTTGAATGGTGAACTTCACACATTTCCATTATACAATTTTAAAATATGAAACTAATACATGATATGGACTCATGGCATGAAAAGTGACATATGTCAAGCCTTTGTTTGACTTAAGTTGTATAATTATGG